GAGAGAGAGAGAGAGAGAGAGAGAGAGAGAGAGAGAGAGAGAGAGAGAGAGAGAGATGGATGGATGGATGGATCCCCCACCCAACCCCGCCTCGCCACCGAAACTCCGCGGAGAGGAGGAGAGGGTCCTCGGCCCCGCGCGCTTCATGCTCGCCCGCAAAATAACCCCAAATTACGCCGCGTATAAAACAAACCACGAGTCGCCCTGGCCGGCCGGGACAGTGGAGGGCGGAGATAAACAGCGGCCGGTAAATGGCGCGCGGAGGACCTGCCGGGCGGGGCTGGCGCACCGCACCGCGCGGCCGCCGAGCCCAGCCGATACGTACGGCCGCTGATTATATTGGCTCTCCTTTCATCGCGGTGGGGCGCTGTGGGGCTGGGCGGGGCGGGGCGGAGCTGGAGAAGACGTCACTCTTCTGCTGGAGATGCATCTCGCGCTGGAGAGTGCGGGAATCTGGAGCGAGCGGCGGCTGGAGCCATTGTGGCTTATCGTCGTCTTCTCTCTCTCTATTTCTCTCTTTCTTCCCTTTGCCGCTTTCCTCACTCCTGCCAAGGGCGCCTCTATACTGTTGGCCCGCTCAAAATAATAACCACAATAACTTTAGCTCCGCTGCGAGTTGAAAACTAGTCAACGTTTTCCGAGGAGCGCATTGTGAATTTGACCACGTTCGTCACTGTCCAACTGTGAGTAACACGACCAGAATAACTATCGAAAAAATAGAGAGCGAGAGAAGAATCTCGATCCGTGAGCAAGCGGGATAAAAATATTTTCAATGGAGGATTCGCAAAGTTGATCGTATTGCAATTAATTTTATATTCGCGGTGTCCTTCAGGGTTGTGACAGAGGTGAAAATGAGAGAGGTGGCTTATTGGTGTCGGCACGTGAAACGGGAGCCCGGCCGCCCGGCCAGGGTATCGCACGGCAGCTCGCGGTCCTCGGGATCGGAATCGAGGCACGATACGATACACCTCCCCCGGGCCGGCCAGGGCCGAGCGGGGCGGGGCGGGGGGAGCCGGTGGGCGCGGCTGTTTCTCGTCGGGATTCGGGCTGCGCAATAGAGCGTGCGAGCGAGAGGCCTATCCCGCTCCGTCCCGCTCCATCCGCGGCGGCGCGGCACGCACGCCTGTGTAGAGGAGAGGATCAGCCTGTAATCAGCGGGGGGGGCTGCACAGCCCGCCGAGGCGCACCGGCAAAAATTATGTTATTTTTCCCCCCTACATTAACGACTAGTTTGGTTTTATTAGAAGAATCCGTTAAAATTGGAGCCGATTTAGCGGATTATTCCATATGGTCATGCCACGCCATCACACGGCAGCTCGCGATCCTCGTCCATCGCACTACTCGTTGCGTTCTTATACACCGAGCAGCTGCTCGTCTCTTCTCCGTTCAACATTTCGTATATCGAATGTCAGCTGCTGTCGACGTTTTCGTCATAATTGTCGTCGTCTTTCTTTGGCGTTCCTGCCACACGGCAGTCAGTCTATGTGTGGTGGTGCTTCGATTGAATGTGTAAAAAAAGCAGTAATGGCGGGTAATAATGATGTTACTTTCTCTGCAATTGCGCGTGGCGCACGGGCGCACCGACTGCAGCCGCGCTTGTGTGAAAAGACGACGCCTCCTCACTTTCATCCCGCCTTGTTCTCCTGGCTGGTGATGCGTCTGCGTTGTTTGTTCCACGGATCATTCTCACGGGGCCGCACAGACATAGAGTCACTGCGAAAGGAAAGTGCGCGCGCGCACTGCGGTAACTGCCGGCAGCCAAGGCGGTGATGTGCTCGGGCAGGGGCGAGGTAGGCAAGCCGGCAGTACTTCGGCGAGGGGCGGGCTAGGCTATTGGCTCTAGAGTAGGGGCGAGGCAGGCAAGCCTGCAGCACACCGGTGTTCGGCGGGCTAGGCTATGAGTCCCAGTGCAGGGGCGAGGTAGGCAAGCCGGCAGCACACCGATGTGCGGCGGGCTAGGCTGTGAGTCGCAGTGCAGGGGTGCTGTAGGCAAGCCGGCAGCACACCAGAGTGCGGCGGGCTAGGCTATGAGTCGCAGTGCAGGGGCGCGGTAGGCAAGCCGGTAGCACACCGGTGTGTGGCGGGCTGGGCTATGTGTCGCAGTACAGGGGCGAGGTAGGCAAGCCGGCAGCACACCGATGTGCGACGGGCTAGGCTATTGGCTCAAGTGTAGGGGTGAGTTGGGCTAGCTAACCTGTACCGGTATGTGGCGGGCTAGGCTATGCACAGCAGCAACACTCGACTTTGGATAGGCTATGCGCAGAGTGAAGAATGTGGCAAGTGCGCGGTATACGTAGAGTAGCGGGCAGGGCAGAAGGTAGTCGGGGCCTTTGCGGTAGGCTGCACGTTCCGACCTTATCGCCGGCTTTGCATCCTGTACCTGGCGGCGTGGCAGACGACGGGGAGGGTTAATAACGAAAAAAGAAGGAACAGCGGCGACAGAAAAACCCGCGGAGACATGCGCGAGGTGCTGAGCGGGTCTGGCGCTACATTCCAGTGGGCTGGGGGGGGGGGGGGGGGGGGGTCTCTATCCTGCGAGGGCCGGCAGGGACCGCGGAGCCGCTTGCGAGGTCTAGTATGTGGGACACTGAGCTCCGCACAGAGGATGAGTAGGACGAAGTACCAGGCCGCGCCCGACAATGGGCACAGTATGGATTGGATAAATGCGGCTATATGCCTCATTACCAAAAATATCTACTTTAATTTGCGATATTGTTATGTTACTTACGTTTTGAAAACGATGTTTTATTTTTAAGGTATGGTACATTAAATTTTTGACTGACTAATTTTATCATCGAAATGTTTTCAGGTCAACGAGAAGTGTGAGTGATAATAACGTTTAGAATCTCAAATCGTCATTTTCCAACATCCAACATCCAATATTTCTCTTGGAAAATTTTCCCGTAATATCAACAAATATTATTTTCAGTGCAAACAAAAATATCATGAAAATAGCACATTGCTGTGAGTAGACAAATGTAGCCATTTCTGTATTGCAGTACACATCCATCCCCGTCTCGAGCCACGCTGGAAACACAAAGCTGCTAGTATCTAGTGGCTTTATGGGGGCGTTAGTGAAATAGTGCCTTTACAAAGGCGCTACCGGCCCCCTATTGACTGTTTTAAGCAATTCCAATGCCTTTGCAGAGGCAGTAGTGCAGTACCACCTTCAAAAGGTGTTGCAAAGCACCTTTTGTTTTTCCAGTGCACCCCTCTTCATCTAGACATTACTCAAAGCAAGCGGTTTGGACAGAACGTCATAGTTTGCGATATCTTTGTCTCATTTAAACCAGTCGGTAATGGTGACATTTCACTTTTAATTTCGAATGTTGGTGCTTTTTTGTGGTACCCGACACGCGAATGAGACTTACCAAAATCACCTCCACGGTGGATCTTGGGCCGCGAAGTGTAACAATTCCAGACAGCCGGAGCGTGGCACTTCGTTAACTTCGCCGGCACTCACTCATCATTTCCCTCACAAAATCACTCTTGGGGTTAAACTGCAGCTGCACATATCCAACAGGCACTTGTTTCCAACTGTAGCACTGAATCCTCTTGTTTGAGGAGCACATACACACGCGCGCGGGGGGAGATTGGGG